GTGTAATGGTTGGAGATGATTTTTAATTTGGTGTAAAAATGGTACAAAACTTATCTCAAATTTTAGTGTAGGGTTGAAGATGGCTTTAATGGTACTTTTTTTTGGGGCTTATTTTATAGCGTTTCTTTAACTTTATATTTGGCTGTGAACGAGCCAACGAGGGAAAACATTGATTACTATGGGCTGTATTTCTTGGTGGGAAAGTTAAAATGAAAATAATTTATAAATCTTAAGTTCGTTTTGATCGGGAGTCGAACTCTTACTTTTTATTTATTTATTTTTTTAATTTAAATTACATTTCAAAATAAATAAATAAATAAGGATATTATAATCCTTACCCTATTGTCATCCTTAATTTCGAAGTATCATAAAGTTAAATACAGTTGATATATAAATAAAAAGTATTCATGTCTTTACATATGAATCATGATGAATGTGAGGTGAGGATCCACATGAGCTATCTTGCACGTATTCTTATTATAAATCAAGTTTGTCGTATACATACTTACATAGACAACATTGTACTAAATGAGTCACAAGATTTCAACTTCTTATTTTTTTTTGTTAATTTTGCTTCTAATTCGAAATTTTTCCCTCACGTATGATGATCGAGTGCCACTCTTCTCCTTTAAATAGAGTGGTCATATAAAATGCAAGATATATTTATCAAAATTGAGTTGTTAAAATGCATGCGTCTTTCAATTCAAAAACTAAGGGAACAACGAACTCATTATAACCCTATCGATAAAGAAGCGCCACTTTTGGGTCACTAGACGGGCTCATAACCAATCAAGTTCTTGTTTGGTTGCTATTTTTTTTTTAAAGAAATATTGTTTTGAATAGTAAATTTTTTAAGAATTTATGGTTAAAAAGTAGAGAAAAGTTTTGAATTTACGTGTAAAATATTTTACTGTATGAATGTGTAATTGAAAATGAATTTATAGAAAGAATTTTGAAAGAATGAGAGATCAACATGGGCTAAATAGAACAATAATTCTATATTAATTCTGACAACATATTTTCTTACAAATACTAGATCTCATATAATTATGAGTTGGGTTTAGCATTCTAATGTTTGAATCAATGATTAGGTCTGTTACCAAATCCTTAATCTCAAATGCTAATTGTTCCAACATCTATACAAATTTTGAGTGACTGGTCAGCCCCCGTTTGACAAGCATTGAAAAGAATTTTATTGGAGAAAATGAGTTTTGAAATAATAATTTTTTGGAGAATGTGTGATTAAGAATTACAAAATATTTTATTATGTAAATATGTTGTCGAAAAAGAATTTGAGAATTTTTTTTTTTTTGAAAATATGAATTACAATTTAATTGAAAATCAACCCTGCACCATTTTATCTTTGAATCATGCTTGATGTACAGAGCTACGACCCTGTACATCACAGGGGGCCAACTGTATATATATCTTTATCCTTTATCTTTTCAACCATGCTATGCTGTCAAGGAAGGTTTGATACTCTCCCTGACAACACACTCACAATAAGAGGAGGGGGCACTTTTTTGGAATGTTTTATTCAAACGGACCTCACGCCCATGTGAAGGTCGATCTAGGAGAGTGTCAAACTCTATCAGATAAAGAAGCTTGATTCTTATTTTTTATAGCTAACAGTGTAAATAATTAATAACATGAAAATGACTCTGATTTGATGTGCACTGCCAACTCCATTTTTCCTCATGTTCTCATCAATTAATGTCATTTCCAGGCTCAGAATGCCATGTTCAATCTCATATATTTTATTCCCATGTTCTTTTATAGATCATTAAATGTAAATATATATTTACCTCAAATTAAACATGTAGGCCCAGTAAGATGTTAATCTTGAGCTTGAAATATTTTATTCTTGATAAATTACTCAATTATTGGGATGGGATAAATCGACTAATCATCCTGTTAATATTTGGACTTTTTTTCGAGTACTAATAGACAAGAACGTGTTTGGAACTACGTTAATGCTTATAATTTTCAATAGAGAAAATGTGTGTTTTAATGAAGTTTTGAAAGGAAAAGGATAATAGGAAGTAAAATGGAGAAAAAAAAAAAATTTAAAAATGTCGGATAAAACCACTTGTACATTCTCTTGTTTACATTGTGATTTACACTTCATTGAGTTTCAAATTGAAATGGGTGGGAATGTGTGTTTAACTAGGGTTGGGCGTGGGTTGGATTAGGTCGGTTTTTGCCCAAACCCAAACCCAAACCCAACCCAACATGGTCGGTTTGATTAAAATTCAACCCAACCCAACCCATGTGAGAATTAAAACCCAACCCAACCAAATGTCGATCGGGTTGGGTTGGGTTGGGTTGGTCGGTTCGGGACGATAAGAATTGATTTTGATCACTAGTTTCAAAATCAACTTAACACATGATCACTAGTATATAGCAAAAATAATTCTGCAATTTTAGAGCT